AAAAAAAAAAAAGGAAAAAAGAAATTAAATTTTAATACAGTTGAACAGCTCAGCTCATGGACAAACCAGTTTTTCAAACCTTTACACTACCTTTACATCAGTTTGCAAGCTGAGCCATGCTGTTTTCTATACATTTCATATGGTACGTGCATGGAGAATATGTTTCATAATCAAGTTTATTCACCTTGTGATCATTTCCTTTATTCTCATGACCTTAACACTTGACTCAAGGGTGATACTGATGGAAGAAATTAGATGCTTATCATTCTCAAGAGTTTAAGGGTTAACACTGTGCTACATGTCATAACTTTTGCAATTATTCATTTCTGTTGTTGGCTTGAGCCCTGAAGTAAAAGTAGTATTGTTGTTTGATGGTTAAAACTTTTAGTTTAGCTAATACTTGTATTTCAAATGGCATTTAGCAGGTGAATGTTCTGAATTGCGTACCTGGCACAAGCATTGGAATGTAGAGGCTACTCGCCTTTAACTCCCAAAAGAGATTAACATGTAACTTCTCCCCATAATATGCATACATTATCCAGTAAACAGGTGATGAGAATACTCAAACTCATCAGGTAAAAGTTGTTATCTTGATGTAACATCAAATTTTGTATTTAATTTACAAGAAACTGTTTATCAGCTATAGGGGACAATGAACAATCAGATCTTCAGAGTTAAAGTATTGAGACTATTATTTTCCTTAAGACATCTTACATGCATGATGCAACGAGAGGCAATACAATAGTTGATATTGTCTTACTAACGAGAGCCCAGGAACAATATAGGGGAACAAAAAAGTATTTTCCATATATTTTGAAACATTTCTACAATTTGTCTCAACAAGTGTATACAGCTATTTCAAGATTTAGGTTGTCCAAAAAAGAGGTCAAAAGTGCTTGTGACCATCTTGAAAGGTAATGTGGGCATCCCATAATCAATAAATTTTAATATGTCAAATGAATGTATAAATTAATCAACCCTGCGATGCCTCATCCTAAAAGTGTCATGTGTTCTCGGATTTTCCTGAAATCCTGCAAGGTCAAGCACCTGAAAACTACCTACATTAGCATTCAAGGTTGTTGCACGTACTTTTACAGTTTTTTTCAATAGCCTTTCTTGAAACAGTTGTAATCAATACTTAAATGTACAATTTAGCTTCATTCTTTTAGGAGCATGATCCAACAATTAATTAACATGAAACTTCTCCTTATAATATCCTCACATTATCCAGCAAAGAGGTAATGAGTTTACCCAAACTCATCAGGTAGAAGTTGTTATCTTGATCCAACACCAAATTCCTATAACTGATTTACAAGGAAACTTGTAGCAGCCAGAGAGGAGAATTAACACATAAGAATGTTAGGATAACTCTACAAACAAACCTGTGAACAAAAGAGTGATTGTTGATGGCCAAGGTGACTGTAGCTTTAACACATTCTTGGAAAATAAAACTAGATTTGCAGATGCTCCATAGAAGGTCATGCGCTCACATAACTCTGTGACAAGAATACACACTGCATTTAGGACCCTTTGTTGTCGACTCAAGGCACTATTGGAGTCAGATGAATTGGTAGCCGTACTTGTCACCCTACCAGGTGTGGAATGTGGTTCATCTGGCTCCTTTGGAATTAACGGAGAATTTTCATTTCCATTTGGAGCTGCTGACATGCTGCAGGATTTCTAAGCAAATTAAAAACAAGCTGTGAGAATAGAGTGGAGTCCTACTTTCATATGTTACCCCCCACCTTCATTCTGGTGCCTAGGAGCCTTAATCATTTAAACCTTATCTGTAATTGTTGTCGAGTTAAGTATTATTTCTGTTACGTATTAGTCTTTGTTTTTGTATTAGTGACGCTTCGATATCATATGTCAGACCTCGTGCGTTGTCGTTTGCGGTAGATAGTTTAGACAAGAGAGCTTATTGCGAGTGTTTCTGCGTTCATTGCGACTCATTCAGGCGTTACAGAGAGGACAATCGGTAAGCCACCGTATTATTGTATTGATTTCCTTGTTTTCTTTTCCTGTTACCGAATGTTACATTGTTAGCTGTGTTTGCGCTCGTGTAATCGATATGTATTCGTGTCATAAAATAGTTATTTTAGTTTCAGTCCTTTAGTATCGCTTAGACTAGGTTTTTTAATTGTATTTTAGTTTGACGGTTTTGGACATCAAGTCACAATTAGTACGAATAAACTACGTTTGGAATTATAGTTGGTCTTTGGTGTCTCGAATCAGTATTTCGCTCGATGTCCTCGCATTAAATCCTGTGTATCTTTGGGACATTCCGACGTTGTTTCGACGCCTGGAGCTATATTATCATCAGTATGCAGACTCCCCATACTGTTCTCCAAACATTTCTTATAGTGCTGACAATTAAGGGGAATTTGTTTAACAATCATCAGCTTTTCTAGTTGATGACCTTTCCTATACTCTCACGACCTTAATGTTTGATTCGGTAAGTGAAATAGCAAGGAGAAATTAGATGCTGGTACTCTCTCTCTCCCCCCCCCCTCCTTCCCCCCTTAGTTCTGGAGGGGTTAAAAGACCAGGCTATATTTGGTACCAGTCTTAATTGCCTTCATATAAATTCTCTGATCTTATCAGTGCACAACAGGAAGTTGTGAGATGAACATTTTGCGTAGTAAGAGTCATGACGAAAATATATCCATTTCTAGGTTTACTACTAGTAAACCTAGAAATGGAATATTCGCTAAAATGGCCTCGTTGCTAGAAAGCAAGCGGTCACAAAACAAGCAATGCACTGTGAAAGTAAGGTGAGGTATTTTTGTTGAGAGTTTGTCGTATTTTGTTATTCCTAAAAGTTGTCTTCCCATCCAAAAGCGGTATTCCCATTCAAACTCTCATATGTTCGCCATGACTCTCATTGCGCAAGATGTTCACCTCACAGCTGGAGCTTGGGCTGCTTGTGACTGCACTAGGTTTTTCATGCAAGAAGAAAAGCTCCCTGAAGCTAAGAACAACACCCTTCTTCTTAGTTGGTGATGTTGTAAACGGCAGTAAACAGGAGCACGAAAATGCTAGAGAGCACACGCTTTTGACAACTATATAAAGAGACAGCCACAGAGGCCTATCATTCCTGAAGGGATGTAACTTTAAGAGACCCCAATCACTTTGACCTTGAAATTCTCAGCCTTCATAATTCGCGTGCAAGCCATCAGAATTATGTGCGAAGATTTCTCTATACCTAATATAGAAGCGATCGTCACAGTTATGAGCACTACCTGTTAAGTAGTAGTGAATATAAGGCTTGAAATAAATCCAGGCCCTTACGGGATTTGAACCCACTATCTCGGCGATAACGCAGCGCTAAACCAATTGAGCTAAAAGGCCAACTGGGAGCTGATCATTATGTTGGTTCCAAATAAACCCTCCAAGTGGTGAATACATGACTATAAATATATGAAAATCATATATGTGCACTGCGGTTTAAGAAACGATTATAGAAGCGATCCACGCAGTTGTGAACACTACTTAATGTGAAGTAGTGAAAGTATGGGCTAAAAAAAATTTCAGGTCCTTACGGGATTTGAACCCATGACCTCTGCGATACCGGTACAGCGCCATATCAGCTAAATTAACAAGCCAACTAGGAGCTGGTCATTATGTTGGTCCGTAAATATATGAAGATAATATATATGCACGTTTCTTCAACTGCAGTGCACATATATGATTTTCATTTATTTACTGTCGTATATTCTCTGTACCTATTTCATGAGACATTTTCAATGTTCGTCGTTTATGAAAGCACATTTTCAGCCGCGATCTGTACCTGCAGAGGCTCAAACTGCCGAAACTGGGACGACAACAAGTAGCATGTTTGGATCCTTTTTCCCAAAAGTAAGTCGAAAACTGGGTATTGATGGAAAAAAAATTGGACCGGTGGCATCACATGGAATTTCATCAATTCCCTCTTAAGAAACATTTGACTCGGAAAAAATTGCTTCTGTAACAGTAAGCAGAAGGATCTATGTTAGACAGCCGCGGCGTGTCACGCAGCGCCCTGGGGAGCGTTGCGTGATATCCTAAGAAACCGAAACTACTGCGTTACCATTCGATCTGACAAGGGCTAACGCTCGAAACGTCAGTTTTCGAAACTCTCTCCGGTGGCAAATTTAAATATTCAACTCAGTTAATAAAAACCAAATTATACTGCGTTACCAGTTCGATCTGTTTGGTAATCACAATAAACAGGGGCCGTTTTTTTCTTTCTTTCCAAACAAAAAAAACAGAAAACAAAAAAAATAATTATAATAAACAAGGCTTACATCAAAATGCTTCATGACCTTATTGTAATATATGTGCCTAATGAAGCTCAAGGAAACCAACTAAAAAAGCTAAGCACTAAGGGATCAAACTCAAAGTCAAACTAAACTCGAAATGTTAGGTACAATTGAAAATTCAAACATAGAGTCGATTCGAATTAGAAAGTGCAACTGAACACGGTTGAAAATCCATCTTACTAAGAATGAACAAGAATGTTCAGTATTTTGAGAGGGCAGTGGAGACGGAACCAATATAGTATTTTGAGCGCAAACATTTCTGGTTGTTAAAATTTGAACAAAGAGCGCGTGGTCGGAAATCGCTGAACACGACATGATTTTAACGATTAATAAAGGAAAGCAAACCTAGAAATAAAGTAGATTGCTCTCCTTACGAACTTTTATACTTACCGGGAAATATAGGGCACAATTACACCTGAGAACGTTCTGCAGAAGATCGCTGGCAAGCCAAACTGGGTTAGATGCTGAACACAAAGCAAACCGAACAATCTTTGCCCAACAACAAATGAGTAATATCAAGAAAACATCAAAATTAAAACAGAAAAATCCAGAGGCAGAGGTTACATATCATGTGAGACTCAGGATCATTAACATTGTTCTATAAATAATTTGACAAGGTCGTCTTGACACATGATTCGGTATGTTACATTTATCATGTTTCTAGGAAAGTGAAGAAAGCTTTGACTTTGGACTGGCTGAGAATCAGCCCACTCGATCGGTGAGTACACTGTATTAAGGAAACCAACCCCTCTTGTCACGGGATCCTCATGTTTTGTTATTCCACCTTTGCGCCAATTTACCGTATTAGGGAAATGGAACACGAATTTTGCCAATGTGTCACGGTATTACCGTGTGCCTTACTGACTGATCCAAACTTTGATACTTTTTTTTGAAGGCTTGACTTCTCGATCAACGAATTTTTAAGCGCATTTTTTCCCGCTGGTTGTAGAGAATACTTTTAGAGGTGCTCTTTATAACTACAGAAAAAAATCTTAAAATGGTTCTGTATGTGTTGTTTTCATCCTTTGCTTCGCACGTCTTATGATGCGATGCTCCGATAAAACTGCAAGAAGTGTTTCGAAAACTGGAAGCCAAAATACTAGAAAATGAAGTGATAGTGGAATAATAAATCACTTATTCGATGTTAAATTCCTCTCTGAAGAAAGGGATGATTAAGTTTTCAAGAAAAAGATCTCGTGACAATTCCGCTTTCCATCACGGAAAGAGACCGGTTATAAATGAAGGCGAGCGGAACAAAAATTAACGAAGGTTAATTACAGCTTTCCATCTTTGCTAAAAAATTTTATATTTTTAGCGGTTATATGTATGAGTATTCAGCGATAACGTTGCCAGGTGAAAATTTATAGGACCACGTTTGAGTATGTCAATGACGTCACGTTTCCGGTCTCAACCATTATGAATTTCACATGATATGTGATTACTTATGCTCTAAGAAATTGTAAAATAACTTGGCTAAATTTTTAAAATACAATCGATGTTTTTCCAGTGGACCGTGTGTTAAGGTGAGTGATTCAAGCAAGGGTGTGAAGCCCTACTGAAACAGTCCTCGTATGGTATTTGACCATCTTCATAATGCAGAATGCGTGAACATTATTAATTATTCATAACCGATGAAGCGGAAAAATTTGACGTCCCCTCGCTTTGCATAGCCCTAAATTTTAGTTAGAGACGAATTGGCCAAAATTGGCCCGGCAGGCCTCGTAAAACTCACTTTTCTGAGTTTTATAAGTGCTTACTTGTAAATCAACCTGCGGCTTGAAAAGGTTTGAAGTAACTTAGGGTAAAGTCAGATGAATAATGTCAGCGTAATTTTGGGTATAATGCAGCGTATCGAGGTCAATGCCGAGTGCCACATGCAGACAACACTATGGGTTTGAAGCGTGTGACTCAGCTATTTGATACGCTATTTTAACTCTTACATTGTTTGTAATTTGCAACGGTCGATCTCGGTAAGACGCAAGTGATCCCGAGAAATGTTTCGTAAATTCCGCAGATCGTAACATTTCATCCCAAAATCCGCTTAATGACAGTCAGATAAACACAAGTGTTTTTCCTTTGCCTTTGGAGGGGCGTCAGTTTGAGTCAGTGCAGAGTGGGAAACTAACCGTCACAAAACCCCGCAAAATCACTCAAGACAACACGGAGGGTACAAGACGTGGCCCCCTGCTAAAAGATATTTCCACAGGACACAAATTTATTCCCTCTATCTTACTTTATTTTGTCTAGAAGTTCTTGGACCTCTGCAGAATGTCAGCAACTGAAGATGGAGGTGAACGTGCACCGTTAATTTCAAAAGATCAATACGGCAAGAGCCATTCAACTCGTGGAAAGACAAATACCAATTGCCTGGTTTCTCGGTCCGATGGAGCTTTGAGTCGTCGGCAAAGAATCCTAAATGCATTGTGCATTCTTGTAACAGAGTCATGTGAGCGCCTGACCTTCTATGGAGCATCTGCGAATCTAGTATTATTTTCTAAGAATGTCTTAAAGCTTGAGTCACCTTGGCCATCAACAATCACTTTTTTCTTCCAAGGTTAGTTTGTAGTGTTGTCATGAGGTTGTCATAGGCACAGAATACTGGGGCCAGAAGCTCTGCCTAGCTATACCGGAAAGTTTTGTATGCGCGTTGGAGAGTCAAGCGTGGAAACGAAGATTGATTTAGACAGAATACGTCTAAAGAAAAAAACTCGAGACCGACCTAGCGTATCATCGCCTAAAAATGCACACAAAACCACCAAGCTACGTCGGCTACCGGGTAATCCAATCAAGTTATTCACAATTCTGTTCGGACCAATCTTGAACAAAGTGGTATAAGCTTTAAAAATGGTTCTCGGCAGGAAGGATCGTGGCAAAACATAAAAGCAAGGCAATTAAAAAAAAAGTTCGCAGACGGAAAATATCTAAAACGCACACATACACGCACACAGGGGAATGCAAGAAAGAGGCATTGAAATTCAAAATTCGATTTCAGAGCGTTAATTGTATTCTTGTATTTTGTCTGGATTTGCTTAAGAAGAAGTAGAACTGTCTGTATGGGAAGGCTGAACAACACTATAATTTTTTTAATCGGTTTTATTTTTATAGGGACATGTTACGTTACACCTTTGCTTGGAGGTTGGCTGGCGGATGCTTACTTGGGTCGTTTCAACACTATTTACGGATGCTGTTTGTGGTATTTGGTTGGGGTCATGCTTCTTGCCACGGTATCAATTACTGATGATATGCTGACCTCAGAATTTGATACATTAGCGAGACTGGTGTATTTTACTATTGCCCTTGTGTTGATAGCATTTTGCGCGGGAGGAATCAAGGCCAACGTAGCACCCTTTGGAGCAGATCAGGTGAAACAGGATGGTCCAAGGACTGTTCAGACCTTCTATAGCTGGTATTACTGGTTTATTAACACGGGAGGCTTAGTAGCAGTTACAGTTGTAGTGGGAATCCAGCAATCAAACATTTTCTCTGGTTATGTTATAAATGCTGGTTCAATTATCTTTGGTCTGGTTGCATTTCTTGCCTGTCGTAATAAGTACTTGGTCAAGCCACCGGTGGGTAGTCAACTGACTGAAATTTCCAAAATAACCCTCAATGCCATTAAAAATCGGAAACAGAACACTGGTGGCTGGATGGATGGAGCAAAGAGCAGATTTGGAGGAAAGTTTAATCATGCAAAGGTTGAAGATGTCAAGGCAGTCTTGAGAGTACTTCCAGTGTTCATCACATTCATCTTTTTCTTTACAATTTACCTCCAGGTAAGGATCATAAAAACAGTATTAGCCAATACTATCCAAGAATGAGTGAGTTGGGTAAAAATTCATTATAGGTGATAAGAGTTGCCACACTCAACATTTTGAAGTTTTTTCGTACCATTTGATTTGATCGTTTTTAGGGTATTATTGAATTCGAAAAAGAACCGGGAAGCCTATTTAATTGTGTAACAAGAAGAGGAAATGACGTCGAATCAACGAGTAGAGAAGCCTTGACTGTACTCGGTTTTGTTATAAAGTATGCAGGAAGCTATCAGAGCGTGGTTTACAGGGGGAACGGGGGAATAGGCCATTGCCAATAGGGTATTGAAGGGGAGAATCAGTACAGAGTATTGACTCCCAATTACTTGCCAGTTAGGGAGGTGTGGACCATAAGAATATTATAGAGCCTTTTGGGAGGATCAGATGCATTTTATCGTGATGCAACCCCCGACCCTCGACCCTCCGACCCTCCGACCTCCGACCCCCGATCACAGACGATAAATAGTGACTGGTACAGTTATTTTGCATATCATCCAATTTTACTTGTGTATTGTCAAGAAAAAGATCGATCCCCTATCGCAGCACGTGATCATGATGTTGTAGATCATACTCTGCAGGTGTTATTGTGTAAATCAAATTTATTCACACCATGGAGAAAGACAATGTTAAAGAAATCACTCTACAGTTGTAAATTAAATAAAAGGAGTTGTTCTCATTTACTTTTCCGCTTTATACACTAACGATTTTAATTCCATCCTGGTCTTTTCTCTCCTTTTTCAGATCAGCACTTCGTGCCTTATTCAAGGTGCTTACATGAACCTAAAATTGCAAAACTTGACCATGCCAGCGACGTCGTCAATAGCTGTTACTATTGTCTTCGTTCTTGTACTGACTCCTCTTCTAGAACACGTTGTCTATCCTCTCATGGAACGCACGGGCATTAAGCTGACTCCCTTGCGGCGCATTGGTGCCGGCTTTCTGTCATCAGCAGCATCTATGGTTGTTGCTGGTCTGGTTGAAATGAAGCGACGAGAAGTATGGCTAGGTGGTCATGTCTGCACACAGGAAGTTTTAGGGGAAATTCACAACGCTTCTTGTCTCAGCATTTTCTGGCAAACACCTCAGTTCATGTTGATTGGAATTGGTGAAGTGCTTGCAACTATTGCGGGTATGAGATTTTTGATGATATCAGTGCCTTGTTGTGATGTTGAACAAATCTAGAGATTTTCACGAAAATTTGATTGAAGTATGAAAGACATGATTAAGTGGGGAGATAATCCTGCTGGTTTATGTATAATTAAGGCGGCGACTTAATGGGTGAAGTAAGGGGAACAAAAATCTTAAAGTAGAGACCAAAGTAAAGCAGAATGCTTTTTTAACTCAGTACAATATTTCGGCTTTTCAAGCAGCCTTCTTCTGAAAAAGATCAATAGAATTCGCATTGGAGGGGCTGGAGAGTTGCGTTTGCAGGGATGTTTTTGTAATATACCAAAAAATATAAGTTAATGTTGTGTGATAAACAATGTGTATAATCAAAGACGAATTAAAGGACCAAAATTATTAAAAGGAGGGGAAACAAAGAAATAACTTCGTTCCTAGAGTGAAAGTCATCAGAAGATAAGAAAAATTTTGTGACTATGAAGGAACTAACTCTCCATGATACGTCAGTGTTCACTAAGTCAGTCTCCAATTATTATCACATTGTCGGGTATTGTGGCGCATTTTGGGGGCTAATTTGGTGAATTAGGCTCTTAGCGCGCTGAGATAAACCCATGAAAAGTGAGAATCAAACAATCGTACAGTCAATTAACATCGAGAAGCCATTGCTACGTTAGCGCCGTTTTCCTGCAGCCTTAGTGAAAAAAATAAAAGCAAATTTGCGCATGAAAGCATGAAAACGAACAAAGATTGACATCCTATGGAAAGAAGTGCTCAGCTGCAGTGAAATGTGCTTGTTCGAACATTCAAAGTCGTCCGTTTCTTTCAAGAGAGGCTTCTGTAAATTACCCCGCTTGTAGAAGTTCTGTGGTCGTCGGCGAAGTGCACGTAGGTTTAGCGGCTTCAAGCCAAACACGCTTAGTTGAACCAATTGTGCCAAACTGTCAGTTTAACGATACTTGTACAGTTAATTTCGACACCGACATTTATGGAATTTTCCTATCGTATGTTTTGAAATTCAAATGGCGAGATTTTGATATTTCTCACCAGCTTCGCTCGATGGTGTATTAACAAAGCCAGAGATGCTCACATCATTTTTCAGATTTTTTTTGTTATCATATGTTTGGTTCTTATGTTTTTAATTCCCTCCAAAGTGGGCATTGTTATGTCCAGGGGCCGTTCCTAAAGCACGAATTAACCCTTTCCGAGCGACTCGGGCTAAAATTAGTCTGAGTCGGTCCTAAAACGTATTTATGTCCGCCATCATAAATGTTATTATTTGTAGTATCTACAGACTTTGCAATCTCCTCCATGTGGTATAAATTATAATTTTTTTGAAATGCGCAGTTAACCTTCAAACTTGTTTATATATATTTTTTTTGAAGGACTTGAGTTTGCATACTCACAGGCTCCCGAGTACCTTAAGGGAGTGATCATGGGTGTGTTCCTCGCAGCCACCGGTGTTGGTGGTTACCTTGCAAATCTTCTAGTTGTTGTTGTCAACAGCGATTGGTACCCTGAGAAGGATCCTAACCAAGGCCACATGGAGTACTTCTTCTTCCTGTTGTCTGGTTTGATGATGCTAAATTTTCTGTTATTCCTATACATTGCGTCTTCATACAAGTACAAAGTATCGGCTCAGCTAGGTGACGAAAGTGAGAAAGAACAGCTTGAGCATGAACTAACTGTTAGTACTCAATCTATGCGATGCTGATCGCTTTATGTCTGCATGCCTCAGCTAAGCTAAGGGGCAGAGTAGTTAGTTTTGTCTGTATTTCCGCATTGTTCACCGAACGAACCTTTCCGAATAAAGCGCCAACGGGAAGCGAAGCTTCCCATGCGAGGGGTGAGAAAAAGAATAGGTAATAGCGCTAAAAGTCTTTCTAAAGAACTGTAAGTGGATTTTTGTCACTTGATGAAGATTTCAAGAGACGCATCTGTCTGATAACCAATCAACAGGACTGCTATTGCGCGATAAATTCACTGGTAATACAGTCAAAGGTAATTCCTCATCTCCACGTGGCCGCAGATTCTGCATGATCTGCACCCCTAAATGTAAGAAGGTTTAAATAGAAAAGTGATAGTGTGAATTTATTTCATCTATCGCAAAAAGTCTACGCAGACCGATCGGACTCGTATTGCTTTTTTTCAGTGATAAAGGCTAATTACTCATTATGTGTTTGAAAGTAATTAATTTGGCTGAAGGTACAATTTGCGGTAAGGGTTTAGTCAAAAGATTAATATGAATTAGGATAAACAGGAGCCCATTACTTGATGAGCTACTTCATAAAAAAATCAATAGTTAGATAAAGTACTTCAGTTTTAGCACCTGAAACAAGAAGTATGCATCTAAGATAAGTACATCCACATGTTTGTCGACCATCGTTAGTATTTCAGTTTTGTAACACTGTTATAAAATGTGATAAAACCCATACATATATAATTTCACTACTGCCTTGGTAGTGTTCATTACTGCGAAAATAGCTTTCATATCCATTCCATAAACCGCAGTTCCATGATATATGATTTTCATACATCCACAGTCATCGGTTCATCACCTCACGGGTTTACGACGAACCAACATAATGACGGCGACAATAATGGCTTGTGAATTCAGTTGATTATGCACTGGTATCGCATAGGTAATGGGTTCAAATCCCGTAATGGCCTGAATTTTTTTCAGGCCTTACTTTCACTACTGCTTCAGTAGTGGTCATTACTGCGAAGATCGCTTTCATATTCATTCCCGTACGAAACTAGGTTAGAAAAATCCTTTTTCTTTTCAGGGAAGTATTTAACAAAATTACCGCAGATGGGTGAGGTTTTTCATCTATTCATCTAGACGTCCACCCATACAGTTTTCTTTTTTGCCTTGCTTCTGGAAACTTATATATCAGTATGTCAAGATTTCGACCCATTACAATTTTGCCTCTATGTCTACGAGTTTGCCCTATTAAAAACAAAAGCTTCGCCCCGGCGTTGCCAATTCGCCTGCGAATTTTTGAACTTGTTTCCATGAGGCAGAACGTGTTCAGTTTCCAACTTATACAGATCTTTACCAAGACGGTCAAACTGTCAAAATTTTATTCAAACTCCATATTTGAGCATGGTTTGTGATTAAAACTGGCCTATTTTATACATTTAACCCTTTAACTCCCACGATCTGATTGATAATTCTCCCCTCTAGCTGCTACGCATTTCCTTGTAAATTAGTTATGAGAATTTGGTGTTAGATCAAGATGAAAACTTTAACCTGATAAGTCTGAGTATTCTCATTACCTTTTTGCGGAATAATGTATGGATATTATTGGGAGAAGTTATGTGTTAATCACTTCTGGGAGTTAAAGGGTGCAATGGTAATTTCATGGTGGAAGCTCTGACTTCTTCTTTGTCTCCGCCAAAGCCATATCAAGATCAGCAATGATGAGCGTGGGTAGTAAAAGCTTAAGAAGTTTTGCCCTTTTCTCGTAAAGGCTAGACCTCTGAGCGAAGTAATATAAGCCTTCCTACTACTGCTACCTTTTTTTATATATATAAATTAGCCTACAAGTATGTTTTTCATTAAGTCTGTCTGACGAGTGCGTAAGCACGAAACTTAGAGTTACAGGGAATCATGCGTGTTTCGTTTTAGTCATTTTGAACTTTACTACTATTTCCCACAATTAAGCCTTCCTACTGTAATCATAACTATTATAGTTTCCTAAAATGTGATTGGTGCATTAGCTGCTTTATTTTTCACTAATCATTCTGTGCAGTTGTAATCGGACAGTGTAATCGTACAGTTGGCTGTAATCCTACACCTGTAATCGGAACGGTTTTCCGAGAGCGAGGTTTGAGAAAGACTGTAAGCTTTGAGGAACATACCTAGATAATGCTCAAGGACAAATATAGCATGCTTTCGGGGAAAACAGAGTTTATTGTGTTTTCTATCCTTCAAATATTTTACAACGTGTGTGAAGAAAAAAAATGTTTTCGTAGTGTTTGCTGCAAGGCGTGTTTTCTTTTCAGTGTTCTCTGGCACGACTATATGAACAAACAAATATTTCCCTTCTTGACGAGAACCATCAAATGTTCTCTCATATTGAATTAAATTAAGTCACGTAATGCGCTTAGACCAATAACGCGCGAGCAAAAATATGCGATGTATCATAATTAGGGGTAACCAGCAATGGACTTGCTTTGCAAGGGTTAGTAAAAGCATTACTAGTCCCTTCATGGCAGGGAAAGCGGAATGGGCTCCAGCTGGATGGACTACTTGGCTCACCGATTTTTAAATCATGAGAATGAGTACCGACAGAAGTCCTGTTACCAATTAATCATAACCGTTTCAATTTCCGAAACAACCAATACGCCAAAAATCTCCGGTAGAGACAATGTCTAAAATAAAAAAAAATTCCTCCATTTTGGAAATTTCCCAGTTTATATTTTTCAGGGTAAGTGGTTGTTGCTGTGATTATTGTGATTAATTCTGTGCATAGTGGATTTAGCTGAGTAGGCTTAGTATGATTGCCTGCCTCAACTGTTCGCATCTAATAGCAGATATTGTGTGCGCTTTTGCCGCTTGGTGGTCTCCAATTTCTACGAGCGCGTCAAAAACCACCAGCATCTGTGGCTGATCATGGCTGCCACATGTGGCCACAAAAACCAAAATGAGGCGATCAGTCACAAAGACATAAAGCTGCTGAATATTGAGCAGTATTCGATAGTTAGTTTAACTGAGCTCATGTTCACAATTACATCCAGAAGGTCTTGACAACTCATCATTTGACCATCCAGAGCCAGATTGTTTGTCGACCTGTGAGATTTTTCACCGGGCGTTTGTAATACAACAATGCAATTAGAAAGCAAATAATGATGTAAAACTAAATTTCAATCATGGAGCTCTGCTTTATTCTAGTATTCTATGTAGAGACCATCGTTGAAGGAGCAGTTGACAGAATCATGACTAGATTTCAGTCGTATTCGCCGAACGAAAACTTGGTTACTGTAAAGAAACTAGATTGCAGGAATTTACAAAGCTCCCCTTAAATACTCACCTTTAGAATTACCTCAACTCGTTACATCAGTATGCATATTCTCCATACTGTCCTCTATGCATATCCTGAGGTGCCGACAAGAAGAATTTGTTTAACAATCAAGAGCTTCTTCAGTTGGTGATCATTTTCCTTTACTTTCGTGACCTTAATGTGTGATTTGGGGCTGATATTGTAAAGGGAATTCACATGCTAGTCACTTTTCAGGGATCGAAAGCTAAAGACCTCAAAAACTACCTCGAAGGTAGAAGCAGAAGAAAATCTCACCAACTCAGTATTCATTTCACGCTCATTCCTTTTTGTTGCTTATTAAGATTATTTACTTCTTACTATTTATATAGCTGGGGTTTCGAAAACTGCCAATGTCCAAAAACTAAATTGAATTATTGACTTCCGAAGTATTATGTTAAAAAAGATGCTTTAATCACGTTTGCGCTACTTTCAAAGTTCAGCCCAATTCGCCAAAAACGTCATTGCTACTGACATAGCAACAACAAATTAAATCGGCATGACGGGAAAATGCTGACACACACATCACTTACACACGCACGGATGATACAGTTAATTCATTGTATTCTTGGCCTTTTTCTGTCTCCTCACTTTGTTGAGGCGATCCTTTGTATTCGTATGAAGATGCAATAAACAGGAAAAACAAAAAATCCAGCATCATCAGAACAGTTACCAGAAAGAAGAAGTACTCAAAATGACCTCTGTTAGGATCTTTCTCAGGATACCAATTACTATTACCTCCCGATGTAACGATAGCAACAAGAAGGTTTGCAAGGAAGCTTCCGAGTCCCCAAGCAGCCATGTAAAGGGCCATGAAAACTCCCTTGAGGTACTCAGGAGCCTGTGAGTATGCAAACTCAAGTCCTGCAAAACAAGTAAAAAAATTTCAAGGTGAACTTTGCATTTCCACAAATATTGAGCAGTGGTGGAGCCAGAGGGAGGATCAATTGGGTCCAAACTAGTCTTGTACCCAGACCTTCTACGGCCAAGCGGACTAGTCTCGTACACAGACCTTCCTTGGCCAAGCGGTTGTAATTACATTTCATTTGCAGTTACACTTTGATATTGAAAAGGGAGTTGCATAATCTATGAGATAGGGTAGACATGAGAAGCAAAAATGCATAGTCCTTTCGCTCTTACATCAGCAAACATATCTTCGATAGTACTCTCCATAAAATGTCCTAAGTTGCTGGAAAAGAGAAATTGTTTAACAATCAAGAGTTCCTTTAGTCGGTGACAAGAGAAAAAAACTGAGTTCAGTTCATACTCTCCTGTTGGTGATCATTTCCTTTATTCTCATGACCTTGATGATTGATTTAGGGTTGATTTGGCAGGAGAAATTAGATGCTAGTCACTCTAAGGAGTCAAAGGGGTTAGATTGTTTTAATTCTGAAGGATTCTTTTGTAGGCGAACGCTGTATCAACTTATATGATCGTGATACTTAATTATTGTAGAAAATAAATGATCCATTTAAAAGAGTAAGATGAAAAATGAAACAAATTCATTTATGGGGTCAATTTCGTAATGCGTAAGCTGTTTCTACAACCTACTGTGGTGACTACATTTATTCAGCAATAACAATGATAAAAAAAATTGCAAACCTGTGATGTTCGCTAACACTTCACTAACTCCAATCAACAAGAACTCTGGTGCCTGCCAGAAAACACTGAAACATGAAGCATCGTGAACTTCCCCAAAAACGGTCTGTCTACAAACATCACCAGCTTCCCATCCTTCCCGTCGTTTTGTCTCAACGAGTCCAGCCACAAGCATTGACGCTGCTGATAACAGGAAGCCCACACCTATGCGCCGCAGGGGTGTCACCTTTATGCCAACTCGCTCAAGAAGAGGATAAATACCATGTTCCATGAGGGGAGCTAGTACAAGAACGATCACTATGTCAAAAACCTCCAAAGACGCTGCTGGTAAGGTAAAACTTCCAAATTGTAGCCTCATGAAGGTACCTTGGATAAGGAATGTTGTACCCATCTAAAGAAAGAGAGAGAGGATATCACGCGAATGAATTCGTGCATACCAGGCAAGAAAAAGAGAATGCAATGTTTCGATTTGGAAGGAAA